CTTCGTTCGTGTGCGCGCGCGCGCGCGAGGCAACAGGAGATCCCGTTTATCGGCAATAAGCGTGTATGACATTTTGATTACGGCCGCCGACGCGCCGCGAGAAAGTCTCGTTTCCTTTCTTGTGCCTCGAGATTGCTTCACGGTGCTGTCAGAGTAACAATGGAATCGTCTTTGTAGTCAGCCAGCCGGCCAGTTATTGACGGAGAGAATATCGGCTCGAGATATCGATTTCATTACTTCGGGATGCCGCGATATATGTTATTCATCGAATTTCTAACGAAGCGGTCGCTTGCGCTCACCCGCGGGTGCGATCTACTCCGATCACTTTAATGAAGAAAATCGTACGCGCCGTTGGCGGGAGGAGTTGTTACGTAGATTTGAAAATTGACAAATGCCGACAAAGAGATAAATAAAAAATAAAATAAGAGTAATATAATAAGTAAAATAAATAAATAAAAAAACAAAATAAGAGTAATGTAATTGTAATGTAAGTAAAATAAGTAAAACGAATAATAAATAAAAGAATCAATTAAGAATATATAGTTTGTAAAAATATATTCTCGAAGGATACGAGTCGAGGGAATATTTTTAATAATCCAGACGTTTTTTCTCCTTAAACTTAACGTTCGACGCCAAAATCGATACTCTCCGACTGAATCTGAATGTCCGGCGAGCGCTGCTCACGGAACACACCGTGATGTGCCGTGACATTACCCCCCCCCCGTGAACGCGCGTAAACAACAACAACGGACGACTCTTGACGAAACTCGGAAGATGAAAAGACGATCGGCGCAAGTTCGTACGGCTGTTTAAAGAGTTCAAGGAACAATCGGACGGCGGGCGCGAGTCGATCGCGGGATAAGATAGCGTATTAAATTTCGCGATGTTATTATCTCCCTCCAGGCGCACGTCGCGGTCGAGATTGCCCGGCGATCGTAATCGTTAGTCTAAATATAAACTCGAGTTGCGGAACGGACGAGTTGCGGGAGAGCCGGGTCAGTATACCGAGCCGGCGGTGTTTTCCAGGCCTTTTTTAATATGTCGCGCTCACAACGGCGCGCGCGCGGCAGTCTCGGCTTGGGAACACACCGCATTAAGGCGATCGATACGATACGACGATGTGCATGGGGAAAAAGCCGAGGGGTGGGCTGGGTTTTCATGGCAACCGGCACCGGCGAGCGTGCAGGGTTTCGCGGCGAGGAGGGCCGCGCGAATTAACCCCTTTCGTTCTGCTGCCGACGAACTGCGAGCAAAGCAAGGACCCCGGGAGACACGTCGTGCAAGCGCGGCGATCGCGGTTACTTTCACGTCCGCTTTGATTCCCCGAGAGACGCAGACAGAGTCCGGCCGTGTCCCGCGGCGCGAGAGCCCCGTCGATTGTCGAGAGACGTCGACGAAGTTCAAGTTCAGCGTGCTGGCAGGCGCAGGGGGCAGGGCGCGGGGGCAGAGGGGGGGGGGCCAGGTCGGGAGGGAACGCCGCGGCGTGTCCTGCAGCTGCCAATTGGCAATTTTTCCGGGACGAGCCGCGTAATTGTCGATTAATCGTCTGTCGCCGCCGCCGCAGCCGCGAGTGCTCAAGTCGGTCGGCCGCGCGTATTATTTGCGCCCCACATACTTCCATTTTTGCGGCGAGCGTAGCCCCGAGCGAGCGTGCGAGCGAGCGAGTGGCATGCGCGAGTGCCCCCGCGAGCGTGGATCATAAATATGCGCGCAACCGTCATTTCCTTTCCCGCGATATTAGCTTCGTGCCAGTCGCGAAAGGAAAGAGCAACCAGAACGCGACCGGCAATGGCGCGAGCAGTTTGCATATATCATCGGACACCTTTATTTATTTCGCGCGCGCTCTCCATTATGCTCGCACGACTCGCGTTAATCGCTTAATAGCGCGCTTAATGGACGAACTCGCGCGGCCAGGAACCCTCGCGGTCAAGAGGTTTCCCGCGAAGGGAGGAAAGGGGGCGAGCGCGGCTGCGCGCTCGCATGAGTTCGCCTGTTCCGAAGTCGCTCTCGGAAATTTGGGTGTTGCTTATAATACGAATGGTGAGCCTCAAAGCAACCTAGACACGTTCTCTGATCAATCAGCTGATCATACCTGGCGTTCGCCGCCGTGTTCTGTGCTTACAAACTTTTTTACCTTCAATTTTGTAAAATATTAAATGGAGAACTGGATAGATTTTTCATGTTACTCGTTATCTTCACAACTGATCAGCTGATTAACCTTCTAAGCCCGTGAGATGACTGTAGTCGTCGCTACATCTGTACTCCTCAGAAAGCCGCGCGATGCTTTAAGGCATCGCGAAGTTATTCGCGAAGATTTTCATAAAGCGATATATATTTTTCTTTATCTTTTTATTCCAATATTTTAAGTTTTTGTGTTTAATTTTGTTTTGTATAGAGAATATGCTCGACTTGCTGGGAATCGGAGTTTAGGAAAAATTCGTCCGCAAAGGGTTAAGCACGGAACGTATCTAGGTTAGTTGCAAGGCCTACCAAATACCTTGCAAGTACAAAACCAAAGTTCCCGAAACCAATTTATAGCTTTGTTTTCTGTCGCCGAGGCGGCGACTATACCTCCGGAAGCCTGACCCGAGGGCAGTCGGGACTTTTGGAAAAAAGAGAGCAACACACGGAGAGAACTCTCCGAACGCAAGGTAGTGCGGCCGGTAGTCTGGCCGAGCGGAAAACAAGCCTCTCGTGGGGGTTGAGAAAGTTCCGGGGGAGGGGGAGGGGGAAGGGAGCCCTCGGGCTCTCACCGGTAGCGCGTGTGGATGTTTTTTCGGGAAAGCGCACACGCGCTCTCGATAACGCCGTCGACGGCGTCGTCGTTTCTTGCGACGTGCTTCCGCACGGCGTATTCTCGACGACGACGACGACGACAACGACGAGGATGCTCACGACGGTGCATCCGCTGTGAGCCTCGGCTGCGCAGACTCCGCGATCTAAAATACCTCTGCTGCTCGTCCGATCAATATCCATAAAAGCCGCCGCGTTTCTGGCGTCGGGACACCCCCGTGCGTCTCTCTCTCTCTCTCTCTCTCTCTCTCTCTCCCTCCCTCTTTCTTCTTGCCCTTCGCCGATACTCGGCGTGAAAATACGCCCGACGGGGCCGACATCTCGCGCTAATATTGCGCGAGGTCCTGGGCACCGCGGCGATGGGCGTAACGCAACGTTGCCCATGGCCGAGAGTGAAGGATAATTACAAATGGCTCCTTGATGCCGCGTAGAATCGAGTGATAGAGAGAGAGAGAGAGAGAGAGAGAGAGAGAGAGAGAGAGGGGCGGGGGGGAGCGGAGAGAATGAAGGAAAACGTGGCGAGTCGAATTTCGCGGCGAAGCGAGTCTCGTTAATACCGCCGACGTGGACGGGCGGTTAAATTATCGTTCCGATGGAAACGCGCGGACTATCGCGCGAATCGCTCGCTCTCAACTGTAGCAGAAACTGTCGACGAAAATAACGGTAAGGTCGCACCCGCGACGGCGATAAAATTTAATCGCGTTTAACCGTCGTTTACTGCGCGCGCGTGCCTCTATTTCGTCTCTGTCTATCCCCCACTGTTCTCTCTCTCTCTCTCTCTCTCTCTCGCTCTCTCTCTCTCCCCCCCTCTGTCTCTCTGCTCCTCTCGTCGAAGCGCCGCAATTAATCGCGGGTTCAAGGGTCAATGTGCAAACGATAGCGGTCTACAGCGAGATATCCCACTTGAAGTCGTGAATGTCCGAACGTCGCTCCCTCTCTCCGTCTCTCTCTCTCTCTCTCTTTCTCTCTCTCACGGGCGCAATTACCGCCGACGTTGCTCGCATCGATAAAAAAAAGAACCACATGCGATATTAAGGAATCAGTCAGACTTGAGAACCCGGGTAGAGGAGAAAAAGTCGCGATTGTATCGGGATGACGAGAGCGAGTGACGACGAGAAGCGAGTTTCTCGAATTTTATTAATCTCTCGTCTCACCGTCTCGGCGCCGCGCCGTCAGGATTTTTCGTCGCCGCCCGGGCGCAGCGCGACGGCGCGACAAACGCGATATCGACGGAGCGATCGCTCAACCCTCGCCTCGCCTTCGGCTTCGTCTTCCATCGAGGGCATTCGAGACGCTCCGTTGAAGATGCAATCATGGGCGCCGGCGGAATCCCCGCCGTGGACCGCGGAGGATTCTCTCGCGGCGTCCATGGACGCGCGCGCGCGCGCGCGCGCGGCGGGTATTCGTATTGTGCGACAAATCGATGAGTCATCCCGCCCCGCTCGGGCTCTGCCGCGTCGCGCTCTGTGATGTAAAATCGCCAGGATCGCTTCCTGACGCCTCCGCGCAACAAGCCGCGCGCAGCGCTCGGCTGTCGCCGCGCGTGTCGTGCGACGTAATCTCTCAAATAAACACCGCATCGAGATAAAGCACCACCGGTGGTTATCGCGCCGCCGCTCGATTCTCCATCGCGCGCGGTTCCTCCTTCGTCGCGACAGCGAAACGAACGACGGCGCACGTCCGCCACTGCTCCGTCCGGTTTGGCGAACGTGACTCGCGGGATCGCGTGTCCTTCGACGCACGAGGGACTCCGCGGGACGAATTGTCGTTCTGGCCGCCTGCGTCTTCTAACGTCCCGATTTCTTGCGCAATCCGCCGATTGCGTGAAACACGCACACGCGCGCGACGCGGCAGAGCCGGCTCTCATCGATTCGCCGCCGCGCGCGGCCTCGAGGTCGACCTCGAAAACGATTCTCGCAATTTCGGTGCTCGCCGCACCTGCGCAAACAGCCGCGCGCCGCGGCTCGCCGCTGCGCGCGGCCTTGACACCGAGAACGGCTCCTCGGATCGTCGATGTTGTGATCGTCGCCGGTCGATTCGTGCGCGAAAGCATCGCCGATAAACGTCGATCTCGACGTTGCGCGCGCGCGCGCGCGCGAGTCGACGAGGAGGAAAGAGAAGCAGGAAGAACCAAGAGACAACGGCAGTAGAAAGACAGATAGAAAGAAAGAAAAGGAAGAGAAACGAAGGCAGTAATCGACATTTACCCTGCAGCATGTGGTGATCGGCGTCCTCGTCCGCGTGGAAGCGGACGCCGCCGATGGAAGAGGACAGCAGACTCATTTCGTGGACGCGGCTCGCCGTGCGCTGGTCCCCGGAAGTCGAGCGGCGGACGACGGGTCCGAGAGCGAGGAGTGGGGTGGGGTGGAGGTGGGGGGGCCGCCTGGCCCGTGCGCTCGCGGCGCTATTGGCGCTCGCTCGCTACACGGCCCCGGCGGAGCCAATCGCGTTGCGCGCGCTCTCGCGCGCGGCGCGGCGTGGCGCGAGCGGAACCGAGAGCGCGAGCCTCACGAGCCTCGGCGGTCTCGCGAGGGGCCGTCAGCCATGGGCCGAGCGAGACTGCAGAACGTCACTTTCTCTCCGTCCGATTCCACCTGCCAAGCCGTCGTCGTTCCCCCGGCTACTACGACGTCCGTCCGTTCGCCGATCGGACTCGCGCTCGGACCAGGCGGCCGCGAACGACTCCGTCGTCGGCTCGACGGTCGATCGCTCGTCGAGATGCGTCGTCCTCCTCCTCCTCTTCTTCACGACCGGGCCCGCTTCTTCTCACTGCCAGCCGTAGCACCGCGATGCGACAACGATCACGACGATGACGACGTTTGACAGCGCTCTCTCTCTCTCTCTCTCTCTCTCTCTCTCTCGTCAGCACGGTCACTCCGCTTGACTGCCACTAGCGCTGCCTCGGCCGAGCGAACGCAGCGAGCGTCCGCGCGAAACACAACGGCGCATGACGCGCGAGACGGCCAACGAGTAGCGATCAATAACAGCTACTGCCGCCGCCGCCGCCGTCGCCGCCGCCGCCGCCGCCGCCGTCGACGCGGCGTCTGCGCCTTGCGTCGAGTCCACCGCCTTGGCCAAGTGTAAGCTGGAAGACACCGCCGGGTCGATCGCTGATCTCTCGTCGATTACCAATCAACGCCATCAACGATCGAGCGCCGCGTTGAGCGAGGACGTGCCGCGAAAACTCGCTGGGGAAGTTGCTCGGTTGCTCGCGAGCACTCCCTTCGCCATGGGTTTCCGTTTCCCTCCTCCGGGGGGCCGGGCGGGGCGGGGGGTCAGCGGAGGTCCTCTTCGCGGGAGTCGCGACGAAGAGCCGCGGGGATGATATCGAAGCGAGAAGCGAGGGTGAAATAAAATGTAGGTGAACGTTAGGCGAGAGAGTTACGTCGCGTTTGCGCGTCGCCCTTTGCTGTTACGCAGCCAGTCCGCGTAATTAACGGCGATACGCAATCTATTCGCGCTGCTATTCGGCATCGTTCGCCGAGGCCGAGGCATCGTTTCCGCTTCTTCGAGTCGCGGCGAACCGATCCGCTAGCCAGCGTTTTTCGCGCCAGTTCGCTGCCAGTTTTCAGCGCTCTTGCCGAATGCGCTCGAGTTATGGAGAGATTAAAAGCACACATGATACGTAAGCATACATAAATGATAATAAAAATAACAGATACACATAAAAAAAGAATAACCCTACACGAAAAATACACACGAATAACAAGTTTCAAGACAATAAGTCCCTGTACATGTGCCTGCACAAGTAAATAAATATATAAAATATATAAAATAAACGACTAATAAATTGAAGGATAACAAATTCCCCCTCCCCCTTCTCCCCCGATAATTAATATCCGACCAAGTCAGCACGGGGATGCCGAGAGGCGAGAAACGTCGTCGGCTACTGGGAGACGATCGTGAATCTACTCGCCTCTGGTTCGGAACTTGCGGAAAGAAGAATATACACTTCCACGTGCTTTCTCAAGTTAGAAAATGTTCACCTTCCGCGAGGAAAGTTCATGCTGGAGGAGGAGGAAGATTCATGAGCGACCCGCTGGACGTTTCACCCCGTGCTACGATTCGGCTCAGCCGCGAGGAGGCGCAGGAGGATGTAATCGTCGCGAGGAGAAAGCCCCGGCTTATCATTGTTTACCCGATATTTCACGCGATATATAACGAACGCCGTGTGTGTATAATTACTCGCGTTGTATAATTTATGTAAGCCTTCGTTTCTTCCCCTCCTCCCTCTTTATCTCTCTCTTTCTCTCTCTCTCTCTCTCTCGCGCGCGCGCTACATGTCGCGTTGCGTAACGAGACATCGCGGCCATTGCTCCAGCACCTATCGTTACTTTAGCAGCAACACTTCCGATACGACACAAAGTTCCGAGCCCCCCCCCCCCTCCTCCGGACTGACGCTGCTGCTTCCGACGCGAGCTTCGCGATCGCTTTTCCGCGACACAATGCAAATTCCTCGTCGCTTCTGCGACGACGGGTGGATGATTGCGAAATATCTTGCTCGCGCGCGCGCTCGCGGACTTTCAATGGTATTGAAGCGTGTCGAGAATAACTTGGCGAATCGACTTCTCATCGTGACATCGGCAGCCGTTCGTGTTTCATTATGCGCCGACACCGGTGGCGCACTTTGCGTATGCATTCATGCGCGAATACACTATGCGCGCGCCGCTCTGTCCGTTTCGACCGGGGCGACACGCCGAGTAATTCACCTGTCCCGTTACGCTAAACGGGACAAACGCCTCTCTGGTCGTAGCGGCGCATCCCGGCGCGCCTAATTCCGCGCGAGAGATCTCTGCCTTGCGCCGAGACTTGCGTCGATTCTTCGCGCGTTCACACAAATTTCTATAAACAGAATGCTAAATTTCAAGCGGATCAACCATCTCGGAAACTAAGTGACACGGGAGACCATTCTCTTAGGTTGTATTGTTTCGAGAAGAGGACACATTTTTATTAAAAAAGAAAAGGAAGAAAAGAAAATTTTTATTTTGGAAGGGGTCAAGGTAAAATAAAGGATAATTATTGGTGATCAGAATAATATAAAATAGTCAGATAATAGAAAAAAGGCTGAGGGAAGTGAGAAATAATAATGCTTTAATAAAGCAAAGGAGAAACAAGTTTGGATCATTATTGTTATCATCATTCAGTTTTCGGGATATTTGATCTGTTACGTTTGAAAGCATCTTGCATATTACTAGACTGCTAACTCCGTCGGGATACATAGTTTCGAAAGGTATGTACAGGACTTATACGCACGTGTCGGATAAGTAGTATGACATTTACGGCTGAATTTCAAGCGGTATAATTACATGTACATTTCTTGTATAACACTTTCTGACATTCTCCTCCGGTATAGGCATCGGCCATATTACATCTACCATCTCTTCTTCTCTGTACTACTTACGTCACGCAGATGTTTACTTCTCGTAGGTATGTAATGCATACTTTTCGTATATATATATATATAAGGGATAACAGTATTACAAATAATTATGATAAATTAAATAGGTCTTCCACCTCATTGCGGGAAGCATCGGAACGTTTGTCCCCCCCTCAGTGCTCGATTGCACATTTATTTGCACTACGAAGGAAGAAAGTGCAATCTTCTGACTCGGCTAAGGAGCGCTGCTTTTATTCGCTTTGAGCAAACTTCTTAATCCGCCAGCGAATTCCCTGGTAAAAACTTCTAAAACGCTCGACTTTTATTCGTTATCGTCTAAAATTAAAAAATTCTAAAATCCTAAAAATCTAAAATTTGAAATTTGGAAGACGCTCGATTTTTATTCGCTGAAACAGCCTTAAACGGTGCCTTAAACGGTTTTTATTCATTTTAAGGCTTCTGAATTCGCCGTACAGGCGGAAACTTCCAGTCAGCTAGCACGCAAAGCACCCTTTAAACAACGCTCGCCAACATCGGTCGGCGCTCAGAGTTGTCGACAATCGCCGAGATTCGTCGCTCGCTCGCTCGCTCGCGCGCGCGCGCGCGCGGGCAGGTCGTCGCTTTTCGGCAGTTCGCAGTTTCACCGCAGATTCCGAGATTAGATTTCGCCGCCGAGTGAAACGCCGGACGCAGACACGATTTTTCCTCGCGCGCGGCTCCCGCGTGTGGATTTTCAGATCGACTTTCCAACGCGATAAGAAACGTTGTCGCGGCAACGGCTAGGCAGGCAGGCAGGTGTGTAATTTTACGTTACGTGTCTAACGGTAAACATATGCGCGCGCGCGCGTTCGTAGCCGAACCTGCTCGAAAGAAAGCAAAGGAGAAAGATAAGCCGGAGTATCGCGGGTTATCGGTTGATTAACTGCGCGGGCTATAAATAATCTAGCGACCGTTTCCTCGCGATGCTCACTCGCGAGAGCGCGAGAGGCACTCGTCGCGGTCCTTTAACGCTATCCGAAACGCCGCGCCGTCCGGCTCTCGTCTCGGACGGTAATTAATTGCTCCTCTATGAGAACCGGTTCTGATCCTCCGCGGGTGGGAGGAGCGCGACGTAATCCGACGTGTATTTTTAGCGGCGCGGCGGCGCGGCGGTGAAAAATGCCGCTGTCACACGCGCCGTCGTGTCGGAGGTGTCAAGAGCTGAGGAGACGAGGCTTTTCCCTCTCGCTCGAAATCCCGCGGGACCGTCGCGGGACCGAAGAGCGAGCGAAGTTCACGGCTCGCAATTTGAAGAAATCCAGGAGCGTTCAATCAGCGACGATAATAACCGCGCAGCTGCCAGCGAGAGATTTCTCATTCGCCAGGCCGGCGTGAGCGATTAAGTCGCTTATAAGTCGTTACGTCACCATCATCACTCGCCGTTAATCGCGTACTAAGCCGATCCGACTCGGGCGATTACGAGCGGGAGGAAATGCGCTCGGAGGAGAGCCGTCCGGAGAGTTACGCGACCGGAGAGAATCCTCAGGACGATATTCATGGTCGGAACTTGCGTTCGAGATCGTCTCACTTCAAAGAAGTCTTCAAGAACTTCAAGTTCGTCCAAATTCTCGCGCGATGATCTTGGAGCATACGCAGATGTGGACCGAAATTTCTGTTTGAAACATCCGTTTCATACAGTTTCATAATTTTGCGCACGTAACTGACTTTTCAGTCACAGACAGCGCTGTGTTGTAAAATTACTCGTCTTGCTTCGTTGTCGCTTATTATTCTCTCTGAGGTAATTTATAATGTTTCAATTACCATAAATGCAACAGATGAATGCAATTAATGCGCGCGTTAATGTATATCCGTCGGCTATCTGATTTGTCACACGTGGTTGATTAGAGATTTTTCAAAGCAGTCAGACGCGGCGCGGCGATATCATGACGTCGGCCACTCCGCGATGGTGGGGCACTGTGGTGGTCAACATATTTCTCCTACAGGCAGGAAATGAAACTCGCAGGAAGATCGGAGTGAAACGGACGAGCGCGACTTTTATTACTGGTCGCGTCGCGCTCAAACATACGAACTCAAAGTGATCGGAAACGTCTTTCTCTCCATTCTCCCCTTCCCTCTCTTTCTCGTCACGGACGCAACTTCCCAGCTGCGAAAAAGCGCAGCGGCGATTTTTCCCGAGATGATCCTGCGCATCGATGAAAGGAGAAAGGCGAATTCTCCTAATTACAGTCAGCCTCGGTAGGATGATCCGTAATTGGCATGGTCACCCAGCCGTCACTGCACATCCCCTGTACGCGATCGCGCGTTGAGAGTTCAAATTGTTATCCCAGCCTAATTTCACCGTGCGCGAGAGGAAATAAAGGAAAAAGAAATATATATATATATATTGAAAAATTTTTTTATATATTCAAAGAAGAAGAAAAAAAAAAATATATATATATATATTTAAAAATTTTCATAAATAAAAAGATATAAATCTGAAAAAATTTTTTATACATTCAAAAAAAAGAGGAAAAAAATATATATATATTTAAAAAAATTTTTTAATGAAGAAATATACGTTAAT